AATGTAAATTATAGAGTAAACATAACACAACACAAAAATTCAGATTCACAAATGAACAAAATTGGACACAGTAAATGGCAGGAGAACACTAAACTGTATCATCATAAGAAGGGTTAATTCAAAAGCTGACATACTACAAAGCCAAAACTATGTTATGTTTGTTTTCTGTAAATTAATTAAATTAATTAAATTTGTCTTTCCTTGCTGTGTTAGTAGCTGCCAACCCCACAGTTACAGACAAGCATGCATTTTCTTAATCCACCTGGGTCTTTGTATTAGATATTTAAATCTAATGCATGATTTTCAAACATGGACATTTTGAAGGATTACATCACACAACAGTGTTCATGCATTAAAAAAATAAAATTCAAACTATTAAAAATTTAAATAATTAAAAATAACATTTCAGAAGAATTTTCACTGTCCTCACAATGCCTTTTCCCCTATAAAGACACTATACGGTGGTCAAGTAAAACATGGCACTAGAATTCATAACATAACGGTTTTTTTTACTCATCTTTATCTGTGTTAATGCAGTCCTGTCCACTCTCTGTAAAGTCTAAATATTCATGAACAAATACTTTCAGAATTAGATATGAAACAAAAAGAGATTATCCAAGTCAGATTTAAATGACATACTGTACATGAAACAGATATGAGAACATCTAATGGGTCTGAATACAGGACAGGCTTGTATGGAATCATTTTTATTGCATCATGCTTAGACAGGCTAATGCAAACAAAGATTAGATCTGACAGATCAGAGATCCAGAGGAGATTGGAACATTTTTCTGAGGATTGTGAATAGTGAAGGATTAAACCACAATGTCATTAAAAAAGGGATGATCTCCTGCTACATTTGGGTCCAGTAAGACATCATTTAATCCCCTAAACATTAAAAGCAAACATAGGGAATTACTTTACCTCTTTACTTTACCTCTGCCCCTGCAAAGCAAAAGTTAGTTCTGCCCATGCATGCTTACATAATGCTTCTATGCGTGATGTCTTATGGGATCTCTAAATCAAATTCAAGTGACATTAAATGTTGCTTTTACCTGCTGCGGCCAATGTGTGAACAAGGTTGTCTAGGTTATCTGCTCTGAGGACTGTGGCCTTGATGCGATGGGCCAGAGTCTGATACTGAAGCAAAATGAAGATCTGTGGAGGACAACTAAGCCCCTTACACATCGCTGCATCCTGTGAGATCAGACCCTGCAGACAAAGGCCAAAAGGTCCAAGAGCAGAGAGAAAGAAACCTCAATCAGCTGGAAATGCAGCTTTTGCTTTGTAGTATTTAAACATCACAGAACAAAAGAAAAAAAATTGCAGTAGCCACAGACATATCATTTCAACTGGTAACCTTCATGCAAAGCTGGATTACCAACCATCTGATTTTTGCCCAGGTGCTACGTAATAGGTTAATCTGAACATACCTCTACACACCTTAAAATAAAGTCAACACCTGCTCACAGACATTAATTCAACACACCACTACCTTTTTTAGTGTCCACTTATTTGTGTTAAGCTCCTTTGTGAAGTGAAATGGATGATCTGCTCTCCAGTCTCTTCCTCCACATTCGGCCTCCAGTTCACCCAGTCCGGTGTCTCCCAGGCAGGGAGGTTCCCGTGTGTATATGGCTATTCTCAGTACACACCTTTGGAGCTCCTTCACAGAGCTCACCTTCAAAAGCAGCACCAGGCTGTGGGTCTCAGGGCTGAGGCTGCTATGGGCAGAGGCTTGTATGGGACAGGGGTACAAAGGGGGCAGGCTGCCCAGCACAGATACGTCCTCCAGTGTGTGGGGTGTTCCAGTGAGGCTGAGGACAGTGACTGCCAGGGTTTGCTGCTCTGGAGAGAAGGCCATAGTGAAATGGAGGCATGGTTTTGGTGATATTGGCTGTTGGCAGCTGGAACTGGAGCCATAGTTCAGTGGAGCCAGTGGAATTGGTTCTTCAGGCATAACAGGACACAGACCGCTGGGGCTGGTGAGCCTGCTGTGTTCATTGTAAGATATACTACCCCCAGACACTGTGCAACGCCTCTGCAGAGCCTTACAGGTTTTGGACAACAGTCCCAGTTTGGGAAATGCAGACAGGGAAACATGGGAACTGGGATCTATGGGTTTATAAAGGGGTGATATTAGTGTTGGTGTGCTGAGGCGGCGCAGGGAAAAATAAGACTTTGGCTGCTCCTTCCGCTCAGAGGCAGCTGTAGCTCGATTAGAGAATGTCGGAGAGGTAAATTCACCCTCTGAAGGGGCAGGGCTTGTGAAAGTAGAAGGGTACTCGAGTAAATCTCCATCCAGCTCTTCGTATTGCTGCCTAGACGCCGTCGTCACTGCTGAGGGAGGCGGGCTCTGGGCAAAGGTCACAGGTTCAGAAGGAGCTGGTGCTGATGTCACAGGATCTTTGTCTTTCACTGGACAAATTTGACTGTTCCTCCAGCACAGGATACACCCCAGGACCAAACACAGACAAAAGACTATCAGTCCAACCAAAAGAAGAATTTGGAGATGAACTGTAAGAGAGGATAATAAGATCAGTCAGATGGAAGCAGTTTAGAAACTATTGTAATTTACCCCCAAACACCTGGATTACATAACACAAACCATACACCGAATGCATTCATGTTAAAGCACTGTTAAAGGTTGGTTCACATTTTTTTGAAGTCTATCTTAAAAAAATATTAAAATGTTTATATTCATGTTGAAAAAATTGTTGATCGCTGTAATAATTCCTGTCCCTTTCTAATGTGATTCCAGTGAACAGAATGATTGAGAGTGATTCCCCCTGACAGAATTTAGTTGGTCTTTGTTGAGCTACGGAGGACGAAAAGTAACACAAAGAGGGAATATTGTACTGAAAACAGAGTAACTTTGGAAAATGCACTTGATTTCACACGTTGACAAGTCACACTGATAACGCCTTATTTAAGCTTTGGTTAACAGGTTTTTTCCTCTAGCTATTTACACTGAAACATGTTGGGATGAGTCCAATATGGACAGAAGGAATTATTACAGCGACCAATAACTCTTTTAACATAAATATAAACATGTGAGTATGTTTTTAGACTTAAAGAAACCGGAACCTACCCCATTTAAAACCATACCTTCTAGTTGTTTGGTGAAAAGGACCTGCACCAGAAGCCAAAAGAAGAGTATGACCATGATGCCCTCAATCATACCCTTACAGCAGAAGAGCAGCACAGACTGCCACAGAGGCTGACCTGGGTACTCCTCGTCATGGTAAGGCATGGTGCCAATAGTGTGTTGAAGGTTTGTTGGAAACTATTTCAAAACATTCACGAGTAGAAGCCCATAGGTCCCAGTAAAGAAGATCATTTGCTTGACTTATGAAAATACATTCTGGCTTTCAGTCCTGGACAGATTTCCCCACGTAATTCTGCTCCAGAGGATCAATCAAAGCCATTGTTTTGGAGTGCCAAAGTCACAAAGGCACAAAACGTCTGTATCCCATTAAAACATCTTGGATATTTATAATCACTAATCAGTTTCAGGTTTGACAAAACATGCAAATTACACGATATCCCCTGATTTCATAAAAACAATTTCTCATATAGGATGGACCTCGTTCCTGAACTTTAGTAGCTGCAGGTGTCTTTTCCTGTTCAAGTTTGAAAAATCTTCCTGCTTTTATTTCCAGTATTCCCAGATCAGTGATCTCCTCATCTGCAGAGTGACTTGGCCGGTATTATTCCTCCCTGGCAGGGCAGGCGGGGACCGTGGGCGGAGATATCAATCTCATAATACCTCTAAATTGTGCCTGTAGCATCATTCTTCTACAGTGTTCCAGATGCCAGTCCAGCAGTGTCACTACAGAACAACTATCCCAGCAGTAAATCCTGCAACCCATCCCCCGTCCTCATCCTCTGACCCATGAGCTCTTATCTCCTTTAGTATAACCTCTGTTATAGGTCTGTTGCAGAGTTCAGGAATTAACTCTTCCTCTTCCATACACACAATGTGTAGATTTTTACTTGATAAACATAATATGGTGTGAAATACTTACTCATTTTGTTTGTCACCAATGTAACAGTAACAAAATTTAATTGACAATAAAATCCAGGACAGGAATTGTTTAAAAAAATCTCAGTTGTTCTCAGCTTTTTTTAGGTTCCTGATTAAAGGATATTACGGTTCAATATGTCAAAGTGACGATAAAGTGCAAATACAAATAAATGCGTATTTTTATAGATGCATAAAACCCCTGAACTTGAAAGGGTTTGTGTTTCTTGTATAGAGGAGGAAATACTACCCCCCTCTGGCCACTCATTAATGTATTATTTTCTTTTGATATGTACTTTCCAAGTATTGAGATCATTTGCTTGAGTAAAAGCAGTAGTACTGCAATATAAATACTCTTTTACAAGTCCTGCAAACATATTATTAGCTAAACATACTTCAAATATCAAAAGTAGAAGTACTCATAATGCACAATATTATATATTATTGGATGTTATTTTAAGGATGTGTAAGTAGCATTTTAAATTTTATAGTTGTTCAAGATGGAACTAATTAGTTAAATCTATAATAATGCATCATATTTATTAACTGATCATGTGTTTTCACTTTTATTTGTAACTGAAGTACTTTGTAAGCTTTATTCTTAATATTGGGATCCGTATTTGTGACAAAACAATCTCAGCTCAGTTTATGATGACGACTATGAGATGCAGTTGAAATCTCAAAAAAAAAAAAAGTATAAATTCAACTTGAGTTGAGATTATTTTGTCAAACGATATAAAATGTTCTCTTATTTACTTATTAAGGATTTCTTCAAGCCAAAATAAGACTATTACACAATTTAAAAATACAAGCTGAAATATTATAATAACTAGATCTCTCAACTTATGTCCATAAAGCCAAAAACAATGAGAAACAAAAACTTTCTTCAGCACACAAGATTGTTTTATTCCTCATGGCCACATGTCCAAGAAAGACGTTAATCAAAGACCAAAACATAGTTAAACATTAAGTCTGATTTTTTTTTTTTTTTTTACAGTTGTCAAGTTCACAGTGACATTTGTTTGCAATGATATGTTTACTTGATTGTCCACATACAGAAGATTTCAGCAGATGGCTAAATGAACACATGCTGCACTAAGTATTGCATATTTCTCTAGAAGAGTGAGGTAGCACTGTTTTAGTGTTCACTTGTCAAAAGCTTGAAGTCATTAACGATACATTCTCTGCGTTTATATAAATACAACACAGCAATATATTATGACATATTATGACAGGACATTCCTGAGTCCAAAAGAAATTCCAGAGAAACTTACCAACAAGGCAAGTCAGTTGAGGTATATTTGTATAACTTCCATCCTACATAAATCTTGTCTCTCACATTTTGGCTTTGATTCACAGCTGACATGAAATAAATGTTTTGTAATTCTGAAGCTGAGCCAAATGATTAAATAAAAAATACAAAAAGTAAAATAAGACAATGCAAAACATAAAACTCCAACCAGAGGGATACACAATGTTCCACAAAACAGTTACAAACAGGAGCTATGAGACTGAGCTAAGGCTTTTTGGTCTTCATCAGGTGCACTTTGGCAACCACACTGTCCTACTTTGGAAAAAGGCAGCTACAAAACTGATGATTAGCTATACATGTAGTTGACACCCAAAGAGGCTAAGCATTGATTCATTTTTGGAGCATTTTTGCTTTAAAGAGACTTCTGGACAAAGCTCTTTAAGACATTAATTCCACTACATTTCGAAGAGCTTCTAACAGGCACTAAGGTGAACTGTGACCTGAACTTATATTACAGTCAGTTTGGAAGCTTATGAGGTCAAAATCAATGTCCTCTTGACAAGACAAATCTTAAGCACATTACACTGTGAAAGTAAAACAATGCTAGAAATAAACTGAAATGCTTCATGTGTTGCAGCAGATTTTACCTATAATTGACAAAGGACTCATCTGACAAGAGAGGTACATTGTGTATGATCAGAAGAGATTTAAAAGGCAGCGAGCCTTAATTTGGTCCCTTTGAGGAGGTGGATGATGAAGAGGAGGGACTGTGCGAGGAGGAGAGGGCACTGAAACCACTCGTTCCTGCCAGAGTTACAGCCTGCGATGCTACAGTAGCAGCTGACTTCTGGGCAAACAGCATTCCTACAATGTAGAGATCAAAAAAAGCGTTAAAATAAAATAATCATTTAAAAGCATGTACTGTACAATTCAAATTTCACTTTCACCAACTTCAAGGGAGAATTTAGTGTCATTAAAGGTCGAGTGTGTAACATCTAGGAGGATTTATTGGCAGAAGTTAAATATAATATTCTTAGGTACGTTTTCATTAGTGTACAATCACCTGAAAATAAGAATTGTTGAGTTTTCGTTACCTTAGAATGAGGCGTTTTAACAAAAAACAAAAACATGCAACATTTTGGAAAAGACGCTCATTCGCTTTCTTGCTTGGAGTTAGATGAGACAATCAATACCACTCTCATGGGTTTACACTATATATACACATTTAAAACCAGCAGGCTAGCTTAGCTTAAAGACTGGAAGCTGAGGGAAACAGCTAGCCAGGTGTAACAAATCCCCCTACTAGAACCTATAAAGCTCACTAATTAACATGTCATATTTTGTTTGTTTAATCCGTATAAAACCAAAGTGTAAAAATGACAAAATCTGTTTTCCTTCAACGTCTAATTACTCACCTGAGTAAATGGTGCCATTGACCTCCACAGAAACACTGATACTGGCTGCTCCATTAGTGGAGATACTCAGAGACATATCCTGTTTGCTTTCTGTGGAAGAAAAACAAAATTCTCAGATTAATGAACTTTCCTGAAATAAAGTTATGATATTGCCTGTCAGCAAAGGCAACTCACCATGTCCGTTGTTATGTTTGAGGTTCATGGGGTTGAATTGAGAGGCAAAGGCCAGGAGGTTTTGCTGGAGGGCCTGCTGCATGAGGCGTTGCTGCTCCTCCGCCAGCTGCATCATCTTCTTGTCTGGACCGTCGGTTGCAGCTCCTCCTGCTCCTCGCTCCAGTCTCTCTCTCAGATGCTCCAATGTGGCAGCTTGTGCCAGTTGCTGCTGCTGCTGGCTCAGTGTCAGAGCCATGGGCAGCCGGCTGGGTAGTACAGGGGTAGACGTCTCTTCTGATTTGAAAAAGATGAAAAGTGAGAATAATTTTAAACATGGCAGGAAATCAGAAGACAAGCACAAAGAAAAAGAAAAGGAAAATGGCAACATGGTAGCAGTTCAATGTAACCTATATTAAAGTTGTAAAAAGAAATTATCCATTTCATTATAAATCTGCTAAATGTGAGGGAAGATTTAAGCCATTAGAGGTCACAAGTATCACCACAACACAGCCACGGCAAGGGAGTGATTTATTTATGACTGAATATGATGTGGAAACTAGTTTAATAGTAAAATATCTAATAGATTGGTGTCAAAACAAAATTCAGCAAGTATTACAAATGTAACACCACACACGCTCTACCATACCTGTCTTTCTCTTCAGATTTGGGCTAGCGGATGGTATCAGGCCGTTGTGTCCGGTCGGGGTTTGCATTGTGGGTGAAGAGAGGAGGGCGTGAGGAGCAGAGCTCGGGGAGGGAGAGTAGCGGTACAGGCTGTTGGTGTAGCTGGGGCGTCGACCTTCTCTACGATTACTGTCGATGGCAGCCTGCAGCTCACCTGGAGAGCTCAGGCTTTTCTTCTCACACTCAAACGGGTACAGATACTTCATATACCTTCAAGGGAAAGTTTTATATGAGTCAGATTTTCTGGAGCAAATGAGACCTTTTTTTTTAAAAATAATCTGGGTGTAACAGACAGCAGCATTCATTAGTTAGCTTTTTAACTCAATTTGCAAACTAGCATCACTAATTAAGAGAATTAATTCAACATTTCAGTTGTGGTCAACTACAGCAAATAATACTACGATTTGGGCTACCTGTTACTGAAATGTCCATGTTTAAGCTAACAGAGAGGCTAAAACGTTTGATTGAACTTCTTTGATTACTATTACATGATAAACACACACACACAAATTGTGAAAGTAATTGAACACAGCTGGTGAGTGTTAATGGTCATTCTTCATCATTCACTAGATCACCCAGCTGCCTTCCAAAAAACCTTTAAGCAGACAATATAATAACTACCTCTTATAACTACTGTTATAATTCCTCAAAATGTAATCAATGTTTCTCTAAAAAAGTTGAAAATAGAAAGATATTTATTAATGTGATACTGTAATCTGCAATTATTACTTCATAAAGGGAATATCACATAATGTAAAATACAAAAAATATATACATACATTTAATTTTTTAGTCATTATTATTCTACTTAATAATTTCAGGATATACATTTTTTTTTTAATTTATAAGATATTAAAGCTGAATTCAGTAACTTTTATAAAAAAAGCTTTTTTGTCACATTTGCTGAGACTTTCACTCTATCCTGACAGTAGTTCATGTGACAATATGAGAGATGAAAGAAAAAACAGGTTCCCTGTGTTTCCTAATGGTATTTACAAGAATCCACAGCGCCTGTTCAAAAACAACCAAGCCAAGAAGGAGCCAAGAAATATAGTTGATTGTTAAGTCTTAATTTCCACATGCCGGTATTTCTATCTTTCTCTGCTCTGACTGGTTTTTTTCATTAAGGCGCAGTGGATTCTTGCAAATGCCATTAGGAGCACTAAGAGGAGCCACAGAAACCTGATTCATTTCACAGCTTATCGCTCTCATGTACTACCATCAGGATGTAGTGAAAGTTTCAGCAAATATGAAAAACAAGTTATTTTTATAAAAGTTACCTACTGCAGCTTCACATTGCCAGTTACATTATCCGTTACTCTACTTCCTCATACAGGACCACATTTGAGTCCTCGGACTGTTCCTAAAGCATTTCTCTGTTAATGCAACAACCTTTAGAGCTTTTCTGTTACAAATAAGATAGACACCTACTGGGTGCGGAGGGTGAAGGCTGCGCTGGTGATGGATGTGGGGAGATTGAGACCTTTGGTGATCTCCCTCCAGATCTTCTTGTTAATAACCTCCACCAGGCCTCCCTTCTCTGTCACAAGCTTATAAAGCCTGTACAGGTCCAGTATCTGCTTCGCCATGATGGGAATGCGGTTCACAGGAGTTCCTGAGTGGATGAGGGGATTAATACAACAAAATTCATTTATTTTCTTTTAATTCTACTCCAGAAAAGTTGGCTTAAAAACAACAGTGACCTTGTAAATACACTATTGTGGACAGGTACAGACAAGAACATATATCCTGACTCATTAACCTGAGGGCCTGAGGTTAATGTTAGGTAATGTGGCTTAGCATGTATAATCTGAGTGGATAAACTTCTCTAATTAAGCTTATTTCAGATGGATGGGGGTGGGGATAATTCCACAACAGCAGCTCAGTTGGTGCATTGATTTGAGCACAGGGGGAGGGGTGATTTTACAGCCAGCAGCAGTGCCTGCCAATCACAGAGTTGACAGCTAACCCTTCCAATCCAGATTTTTTTGGAGTAAAGCCAATTAATGAAGGGGGCTAAAACGCAGTTGAAGAAACAAGATTACTTTGTGCTCAGGATAAATACATGCCACAAACACACACGTTCATTTGCCATGGCCATGTCCTTAGCACACAGAGTAAAGATTGCTGATGGTGTCTGGCTGCACCTATTTTAGTTCGACTAGGATTTGTTTCCATTGGATCAAATGAATCTGCAAGTGTCTTTAACACATGGTACTTACACTGCTTTACTACTATATGTACAGACAAGTATGCTTTAAAAGCAGCAAGGTATTTCATTTGATTTAACAATTCAAAAATTCCTAGATTTTTGTAAGATTTGAAAATTAATGCAATTTTAGCCACTTTAAATTAGTGTTTTCTTGATGTGGTCAGTAAAAGCTGCAAGATTTATTTAATTGCATTCATACTATTTTGGACAACAACAACAACAAAAAAACACTACTAACTAAAACTAAACTAAAAAACGTTTTAATCCTTTAATTTTTGCATTGATAGATCAGCTTTTTTCTAATATTATAATATTCGACACAGTTTGGCCACATTTGTACTTGTGATCTGACTGATTGTTTTGTTGAACTCTTGGGGTATTTAAAAATCACATCTTAAATGTATTTTGTTTCAAATCAATGAAAATAGCAAATTCAGGGTAATTTACATAATACAGTAAACTTAAAAGATCACTTAAAATTAGTTTTGTCCTACACAAAAACAAATGGTGTAAATCATTTTGAAAGGCAGCACTTTTCAGATCATCCAAACATCAGTCAAACCTCAACTTTGACCAGCAGCTTATGACATTGGCTTTAACACTAGTTAAGGCGTGCTGTTACTTTTAATTGGAATTTCCAAAATCACATTGACATAAAAATATAAATCTATCAGCAGTGCCTTAAGAGCATTGTTAAATAGTTCATCAATGGAAGACTTTGGTTGATAAAGTATGAAAGTGACATTAATTAATAGGAGCTCACTTGGCTCTTACCTCGTTTCTGCATAAAGACAAAGAGATCATCAAGAAACTCCTTCCGTTGTGGGTCATTATCCAGTTCATAAAGCTGTAAGTTGGAAAAGAACAACATCAGCAACAAGCTGGTCAACTGTTACTCTGATTTTTTTCAGCCATTTTGTTGTTTACATGCATCTACCGAATATACGGACCTTGGCAAAGTCCCTGGATGGTTCTCCTCTGACTTTTCCTCCGTCATTCTCCTCAGCCCAGATGGCACTTCCTCTCTGTAAATACACCCACATAGAGATAACATCAGTGAACAGTTTGTCCTCTTTGCCTGCTTCAACATCAAGTTTAGAAGGTAATTTCCAATTGCTTCCTTCAGACTAAAACCTGATGTACATATGGTGCTGTACTGTGGATGAAACTTGCTTTTTTCCCCTAGCACTGAAACCATGGTTTACTGTAGGATGGTAAACAGCTGGTCATTGTAAGCATCTTGGATGTCTGTACTGCTGTGCTGTGTATATAGTAATGCATATTTTTCTCCCCAAGAGTGTTCATTTAAAGTTGTGCACATTAAAGGGGTGATTAATGAAAGGCTCAATGCTCATTAGGAAATTTAATATGACATGTTATTCCTCCATCACCTCCCCCTTAACATGATAGTTAAAGGTTAAAAATGTGAGTGGAGGGCAGTGTGTGCAACTGTGTGGAAAATCCTGCTGAGAGGTTATTGTCCTGCTAATGCGCACAGAGAGCTGCGCCATGATGCTTGTCTTAAGAATGGTCTGTCATTACAATTACTTTAAGTTGATCATTTTTACCACATTATCCCTCCTATCTTTACTCATAACTGATAATACCATTAATTTATTTTAGGATTATTGTTGATTTAGTTGCATCTTATGAAGTATCACAATGCTATGATATATATTATTGGCTTGCTTTCTGTATATAAGGCGCTCACATTCAGTTCAGTGAACATGTTTTATACCGAAACAAATTGTATTTTAGACAACAAAACATGCTTTACCATGGTTGCGGTTTGTCAAAAGAATGACATGTTTTTGGTTTTCCTTCCCTCATTATGATTTTACTTGATACTTAAATTTAAATGTATCATTTTGAACATTAAACACCTTATCCAAATAACTTAATGTTTGGCATAGCAACATGATAAAACCTGGGGTTGATGACCATAACATTTAACCAATTGAGGTATAAAATACATGGGAACCAATAATGTGTTGGCTTCCAGTCTAACTGTTTACAGTAAAAACAACTCAAACTGCAAATACTGACACCAAACAGCTGTTGTAAGGCAGTGGTTCCCACCCTTTGTTGTCAGATGTACACCAACAGCCCTATCAGAGTTCATTTCGATAGATTTTAAACTGAATATTATGTAGCACTAGAAATGGGATAAAGGTGGATATTGTTACAGTAATCTTTTATCCAATTTAACTCAATGTTTAGGTTGGTTTGCATGTGTACTAATAAGTCTTGTAGTGGCAGAACCTGGACATTTGAACCATTTAACCATTACTTTTAGATAACGGTTTTTAATTTAAATTCTTTACTTGAGCTACTCCAGGATCGTTCTATGTACCCCTAATTGCAAAAGTATGTTACCCCTGGTTGGGAATCACTGTAAACGTTTCCTCTTTTAGTTGTTAAACTGGTTAAACAGTACAACTGTATGCATGCACACAAAACTCTGCCCCTGCGGTGGCAGAGCTGTTGACACATCTAATGGCTTCACAGCTTAGAATTTCTAATAAAGGACTTCTACTCCCCCACCAGAAAACGTATTGATGTGAAGGTAGATAAACACCACAGTCTTTTCACCATCAAATGGAAATAAAACCCTTCCCCCCTTATTGATGAGCAAGTGAGACCTACTGTGGATCTATTAACAAAGACCTTTCAGTTAACTGCTCACAGAGTTTTCACACATCCAGCCCTGGGAATCCTGATAGTATTCAATATGTAGGTCAGGAACATTTCTTTTGTTGGCTAGTTTTTTTTATTAGGCTTTAGATTACTCATATTTAAATGACAAATTATTAGGTTAATGCATATTACTATACTAAAAGTAGTTCTGTAAAAATATGTCTTTTCAACCAGTCAAGATTAAAAAAGAAATTTCACTTGAGTTGAAATGTTGTATAAATCATCGAACATTAACAATAACATGAAACTACCTCTTACAATGAGCTTCATTAAAGAGGAAAAGTTAAAGCATATCCCTCTCCAAATTTCAATGTAACTGCAGGGGGGACGACATTTTTAATCCAAATCAAATTATAAGGCCTTCAGTCACCAGAACAAGTCAAGATAATTTATCTTGCCCCTTGCTGAGCTATGAACTGAGGCTGAGAGTGAAAAGGGGCTTTTTACCCCCACCAATGCAACATTTAAGGGCGTACAGTGAGACCGCACACAGGGAGTGAACAATGGCTGCATGGTGAGGCTTGTACAGCTTTGTCCAGATATTCACTGATGAAAGAATGAAAGAAAAAGCTAAAGAAGTAGTAGAGAGGGACACAACTTTAGGGTGAAAAGAGGGTAACAAGCGTAAATCTTTACAACCAGCCACCAATTAACTCACAAAAGACTAACAAAGTGAACTTATCTACAGGCACGTCACATAAGACAGCCTCATTGAACAACTACATATTGACACTTTAAGGCAAAGTGAAAAGCATCTTTGCGTCTGGTTTTCGGCTGCATACCATTTTACTATAAACTTAATGTTTCCTACAAAGCAGTTAGCAATGATATAGAAATCTGTAACTGTTTTTTAGCTTAACATAGGTAAACAGAATTAAATTAAACATGATAAGCAATACCTACTTGTTAGTTATTCAAACAGCATGCAAAGTTAATCTGACCGCATACGAAGATATTCATAAATCATGACACAAATGGGTCGCAGCAAATGTTTCACATACATTTGTTCTAATGATAAATGATTCAGAGATGTTCATTGTGCTTTTATCAATAGAAAAACAGAATCCAAACCATTTCACACACATGCAATTAAGTTCTTTACAGTTTCTCACAACTCATTATTGTGCTTCAGCTAAAACAGAAGAAATGTTCTTCATTGCTCCAGCTGTTGTGTGCTGGTCTGAGAAAAGGAAATCCATTACCACTGCAGTAGCCGTATAATGTATTGATTACTTGCAGCTGAATTAAGCTGCCATTTACTGTTGCCAAGCGACAGCTAAATTATGCAAAGCTACCCACTGAGCTACAGCTACGTCAGCAGGGAGTTCTGAGCCTGTTGAGGTCTTAAAAGAGGCTAATGTACACGTAACCTTTTGAACCATCGTGGATCTTACATTTACAACTTTTTACTCCATACGCAACTCAACAAAACTCAGAGGGTGAAGAAAAGCACAAGAAAATATGAAATCTCCCTAAATAATGAAGAAGAGGTGGTAAAACTTCTGATAGCAAATACCAAAAGGCCCTTCTGCTCCACTGAAACTACTGTAAGTAAACTTTATGGGTAGTTGCTTGCTGGTATGCTGTGAGGCTCTAACCCAGCTGTCCCTCTGCCTACAGGCCTCATTAATCATATTGTATTGAAATGGGGCCTTTTCAAGGGAAACATACCCACCAGAAGAACCAATCAGATTAGTCACCATAAAGAGGGAAAATGAATCTACAAGGGCAACCTTCCAATTAGTTTCCAATAAGTAGCCAAACATATCTGTTGGAAAATATAAATGCAAATACTAGCTGTGGATCTCACATTTAGTACCAGACTTTTCATATTTAAAAGAAGATCTGGCTAATATATTGAGAGGACACCGTACCCAGCAATTCCTCAGTGTTTAACCATTAAATCACTGTTCATGTACATGCTTGAGGCTATTTAATTAATCCTCTACTCTCATTTTAACCCGATCTCTGTAGGGCCCTACCCGGACACTTTAAACAGTTAGGATTGGACCACAGCCAAGACCAATTAACTCAGCGGTGGCCAGAATATGTTTTCAAAGTGTCTGACATGAGGTGGAGTATAAAAGAAGGAGATCTTTGGCCTGGCGAGTAATTAAACACTATCAAGTTTGGGCATCTTGCCAAAAGGGACACGCTCCTTTCCTCCACATGTGAGACAACAGGGGGAAGACCAGGCAGCTGTGAGCCAAACTCTCAAGAAGTCAACAATTAATAAGAGTTAGAACACACACCAGAGACTCAGACTACTTCAAAATGGAGCTATAATCACTACAATATATCCAAAAGGTGAACAGATATGGTATAATGTGACAGTGATATCACAATGGGATTTGTTTTTTCTGTAATGTATGAGAGAAATGTTGATGGTAAACAATACAGAAAAGAAAAACATTGTTGCCTTGATTTGGGCAAATAAAAGATAACTTACTTGTTTAAATGGCTCATCATAGCCCCAGTCAGCGAAGCCATTGGGTGATGTGAAGGCCTGTTGGCCTGTGGGAGACAGCAGCTCCTTCTCCTCCTCCTCCTGTTTTATTGCTGAAGGTGGAGATTCGGACATTTGCTTCACAACAGACGAGTGAGATGTGGAATAAGGAGGGAACGGGAAGCCTGCAACCTGCTGGAGTCGAGGCTTCTTCGCCTGCTGATGAGGCATGTTGTTCTCCTCCTCCTCGTCCTCGTCCTCATCATCATTCTCTTCAGGCTCCACCATTTCCTGTTCCTCCTCGTTTGAGTCTTCATCTTCTTCATCTGGATCTATTCTGCTGAGATGGCGGTTCAAAGCTTGTTGAGCTGCTTGATAAGTCTGTCCATCTGCTTTGCCAAATAATGAAGAGTCTAGTCTGGAGCCAGAGGCTCTCACTGCAGCAGCATGTTGAGCAAACAGGAGCTGGGCTTGAAGGAGATGTTTCTCTTGCAGGTTCATCTCCAGTTTGGCCCCTTGTTGTCTCTGCAGATGCTCCATCATCACCTCCAGCTTCACCCCAGCAGGATTGAACTGTGAACTGCCTTCCTCAGATAAGCTTGACTGTGAACAAAAAAATAAAAAATTGATTGAGGAATTTGTATATCTTACTCCACCTTTTACAGTTTGAGTAGGCCCTTTTTGCTTTATTGTGCTGCAGCAAATTATGCAAATATATAAAGAATGGAAACTGCATTCAACAAGTAGAAACATTAGAGGTTAATTAGAGGCAAATTAAAGTTTTACTAAACTGATGCTTAAATATTAGATATATTGTCTGAATAAAATTATTTGGTTTTTGATCCAAACAAATATCCAAGTTTATGTGAAACGTTTCCAAAGAGTCAGTTTCGGCCTCAGAAAGCGCTTCGTGGCTTGAGGCAATTATTAACAGAAAATACATCAATTCAGCTGAGAAACAGGAGCAGGAAACACGTTTCCAACACAGCTTTGTGTGTCTTTTCTTTATTAAAAGCTACTTATATGTATAAGTATGAACTTTCGTATTTCTTCGGTTTTAAAAATGGAAAAATCTACTTTATTTTACAGGGCATTTAAATGCGTATGTACGGGCCTACATTAATACGTACAAAAAAAAAAAACCCCGCTTAACCCAAGTTAATTAATAACTAAAAACGAAATCTTCGTCGTTAAAGTGGAAACGTTGCTTAAAATGTCTACAGGAACAGTCATTGGCTTTGTTACTGTAACAAACACGACCAAACAGTCGTCGACACTCACCATTTGCGCCTTTGAGTAATCCATCATCGCCAACCGGTCTTTATCTAGTTTGTTCTTCTTTCCTCCGGCGGAAATAAATTGCATCGCATGACCAGATTTCTTTAAACTGATTCTTCTGATTAAATGTTATTTAAAAACCCCTGTAGTGTTGGAGGCCGGGGTGAACGGCGCTGGAGGAGGGGTAATACTGCTCTGCGCTTTACTGCGCATGGAAACTCAAACAAACTAGCCTACACCCCCAACTTGATGAATGAAAGGCCCGCCCCGTGCGTAAAGCTCGTAAAGTGGGTTTTCTTTCCTGCATCTCCGTGGAACTACCCACCCAGTTTAGGAAGAAATCCCACCCACTGCCATTATCCTATACATTTAAGGTAACACGATCTTTAAATAATGATAAAAAAAATACTACAACACAATGTTAGTCAGGAGCTGCTTCATTCCCAGTGCGAATGGCTCTGACCTCTACAACCTTTTCTTTCTCCACTCTTACGTTTAACAGCAGAAACATGACTCTAAGTCATTCATTAGTCATTGGCTATACATTTTTAAGTATTAAGGATTAAGTACATTTAACAAAAAGTGTGTGATAAGTGCCAAGTAAAATGTTTCAGAGGCTGGCAGACAGAGGCTTGCTTACTCTTTTCTTGTTTTATTGACACTGTGTAATTTAAAAGTATCTGTTTTTATCAGAATCAGTCTTTTATTGGCCAGGTATGTGTGCACATACACGGAATTTGACTCCGGTTTTACGTTGATCTCAATGTACAAACACATACATAAATAAACAGTTAAACAAAAAAGACATAAACTTATTATACATATCTATAAACAAACATTTGTAAACAGTAGACAATAGTGCAAATGATGCTGAAATAAATATTTACGTGCAGGTATCTTTATGTACATGGTGTAGGTATATATGACAGAGTCAACTGTAGATACAGTACATACAGTATGTATTGTATTGAGTATTGAGTATTTTTGTTTTATGTTTTAAAAAGAAACTGAAACTGAAAAAGAAATTGTTGTTTTTGTGTGGACCCAAGGAAGATTACTGACTGACCACTTTGTGGAAGCTGATGGGGATCCACTTGAATTATAAAGAATAAAGAACCTGTTTGAGGTTCAGTTTCATTTAATAAAATGTTTTCAATTTATCCCAAACGGTCCATCTTTAGCTTTATTGATGGTGACATTAAACCATAGACACGTGTGCTGTAGTCTTTTCACTCAGAGCTTGAGCTCTTTTCACTTATGTTTGCTATATAAAATGAATTTTAACAGTAATCTGGCACCATGGTGAAGGTCTAATGTGCTTCTGTTTTAAATTTGCCCAACATGTGCAACATTGTTTGAAATCTTGCTTTCATGGGCATCAGTGGTGAAAGTGACTCCTACACTGCCACAAAGCGCCTGAGGCAGAGGCTGCTGACATGGCTGATTAAAGGATACAAGCAAATATCAAAGTCAAGAAATTAGCCTTCATTAAGCTCAAGATTTCTGTTTCTGAGAGAGCCTTAGGCAGAAATTTATTATTTAATTGAGAAATAAATCCCATAATTTATTCACATAAAATAGCAGTCAAATGGTTTATCAGACTTGAAAAGGACACTTGCAAGTATAGAAATTCCTCTCAAACTAAACTCTAAAGTCCTCTGAAATCTGTTTCTCTCATAGAAGTCAAAGCAAACTTGTAGCTGGAGCAGATGCAGCAGGGTGATTTTTTTAATTAACTATAACTTAACTAATTAAAGTAAGTCTATAAGCACTTACTCCTATTTGGCCTTTTAAAGAAGTTGTTTACTTACTTCAAATAAAGTCCAAATCTGCAGTGAAGAAAGAGCTCTGAAATATTTTAGTCAACTCAGGTTACTTTAGGTAAAAGTGGATCTTATCATAATGCACATTTAGTTTTTTTTTTAAAGAGAAAAAATTTAATAAGTGTGCACATCAAAGTGGTATGACTTCAGTTTAGTTTGACAGTTAGATTTAACCTTCAGCATTTCTACTGATGTATCTTCTTCTCTCTAATAAAAGGAGATGGTTAGACCTGCCAACATTCATCCCCAAATTATCCATAAAGTACAATCTATATGTAAAAATCATTATTTCTTTTAACTGTAAGACTATAAGAATAACCTAATGTCCCCCAAAAATAAAATAAAAATTATAATTCATTTTCAGTCTCTTTTCAGCAAGTTATGTGTCGATAATAACATTACACCATTTGTCATTCGAACAAGTTTATTTTACCAGCATGTACATTTTCCCTGAAATGAAAACAGATGTAATATAGATTGATACAGTAAAATGATTTTTACATTCATGTGAAAACGCTGCTCCCTGGTGGCAAAATGTGATTCTCACAAGAACGTCCAGACACTCACGGAACAACATGCACCATAAAGTGAGGCTCTGCTCTCTATTAAAGCAACTTGAATGAATTGAATGTATTGCTTCAATAAGTAATCAAACTATTTAAAATATCCCAAACATACTTGTGACACTCAATAAAGATACATTTTCCTTTATTAGGTTCATCAATATTTTACAAGCAAAAGCACTTAATAAAGGCCAAATTAAATATCACACGTATTACAGGAGGCAAACATTTAAGTACAAGGTTTGTGTGTCAAGGGGATATCCACCGTCGTTAGATCTGAAACAAACAAACAAAATATCTGTTAGACTGCCATCTTATGACAAACATGGTGGAGGAAAGAAAACACATGACTGGTAAGAGAATTTTAACACCTACTCATCTACACTTTGTCAATGCCGAGCTCTTCGGGTGTAGAGATGCCAAGCTCCTCTAATGTTGGCTTCAGCTCTTGGATCAGGTATGGGTAGATATCTTTATGAGGGCCGGCTTTGTCCTGAGGATATAACAAAATGGTAGAACCCAAATTAATCATTAACTTAAACAACGAGCAACTGCAAAAGGTGCTGGCTGGCAACACTTCGCTCAGAAACAGGCTCTCTCTCTCTCTCACCTTCACAGCTTCCAAAATTCGGATAGCGCTGGCCAAGTCATTTAACCTCCGACAGGCTCTCAGTGCCGCTTCGAGAATCTTTGGCTCAGGTACGAGATCATAACCAATCAACGTGTTCATCCCTGGAAGAAGGAATTACACTGTTTAATTGGAGATTAGGAACCCAAAAAAACACTTACTACAATCCGCTTTTTTTCATTTCATCTGTTACTTAAAGAATAAAGGTGACATTCTATATTTTCTCTTTGTGAATACATCCCACAAAAAAACTAAAACCATGAACTGGTCCCACTAAAAAGTATGTTGTGTTTAGTCTCATATACTGTATCTTATCCCTCTGATCTCCAGTTACCGGGTTCCTTCATTAGAATAAAACATGGGCACAGTAGTTTATTCTGAGTTGATCCCACACCAAAAATACATAGCTTCTGTGTGTCAGCCATGATTTATTTTGTTGGCAGAGTCTAACCAGTGGCAACAAGAGACATTTCTGCAGTAGCTAGCGGTGCAAAATGCAACACTCACACCATCATACGCATCGGTCCAAACAGTGACAATCACAAGACTGAATGCTGCAATAAACACTACCATCATATTTAGAATGCCTTACTATATATGTAATGTCCCAACGCCACGAAGGACGTTCCTGCCTCTTGGCTAGTTATATCATCTGACCGTTACAGAAGTTAATATCATGGATCTTGTTGCTAAAAGTCAGGTTCCTCTGGCTTGTTCTAATACTCCTAATGATATCTGCTGGAATCCACTGAGCTTGAACAAAAACAATCAGAGTTAAGAAAGGTAGTTAATTGTGGAATGTCATTCCTTGGTCGTCAAATACAAACGCTGGGAACAAGGAATAAGACTCAACAATCAACCATCTTCAAACCACCAACCCAAATGTCATTATGAGCACTAGTAGGAACCAGAGAAACCAGATTTTTTCACAGATCATCTGTACTGTGAAAGTGAAAAATTTCAGCAAATATGACAAATATTTTTTATACAGCAGTTTTAGGCTAACAGCGAATTGTTATAGCTAAAACGAAAGCTGTCCACATGTTGTCTAACTGTTTCTCAGTTTGCCATGAATCTTAAAATTTGGCAAGTTCTTATAAACTTGATCATAAATTAAAGTTAGCCGCGAATAACTCCAAAGAGAAAACGCTCCTCTGAAGTTCTGTTAAAAATGTATTGTCGTCTCGTCTTTGCACCATATTAATTGGCTATACGGATAGTGGTATCGATAGAGACTTGGATCATTAAGCAGTCTTAAAAATGGTATCAATATCAATATAAATTCATGACCCCTATCCCTAATACTGACTGATGTCTGTGGTCTTCATTCTTTACAAACTTGACTCAGGACTATGATTTATCTTATTGGCATTTTAGATTTGTTTCCAGTGAGACATTATTGAGTTTATATAGTGACTTTACTGCTGTAAACTTTACTGTTGCCGCTCTAGAAACAACATTTAGTTATATTTAAAATCCCTTCTAATTCAGTTCAGGACATTGGGTTTACTTCATCAATGAGCATTATTTGTTTCCCATCAGAGTCATTTGAAACATTTTTTGTTAAATAACACACAATCTTCTTGGAGGAGGACCCCTAAACACACACCACAATTACACTACAGGAACCCAAATGGCCAGCAGCGGCCCTGATTTGAATGGATGCAATCTTTCATCCATAAACGTACCTTTTCTCAGCTCCCATGCATCGATGTCTGGCTTGTTGAAATAGGTGACCCAGCGGGCATCAAACTCCTCATCTGTCTCCTGCTTCCCATGGGAGTAACACCTTGAGGCCAAAAGAGCTGCACAATGAAAACACTTTCTTTTAGAAGGACAACTTATCACCAATGAAACAATGCACTACAGTGGCATCTAGAGCCAGGTAATGTAGAAAGGCAAACACAGTCCAAGGGTATCTGCACTGCAGTGAGGTGAAAGAGGACCAAACGCTGTCTAGTAATGTAACGCAGGTGGAGCACTGCCAAAGTCCTTACATGACCTACCTACCAGACTGAATACACACTGATACAGAGATTAATGTTTATACTACTGCTCTTATGATTAACCTAACAGGATGTGAGAATAAAGACAATGTGCATTCAACGTTAGTTACTGTAAATTGTAATTCTCGTACATCTACATCTGCATAATTCAACTTCCCTGTTAGACGGAGACAGGGAAACAAAGTTTCAGCTGAAACAACACGACAACACCAGAGTACGGTGCGTTTCCTGGTTGTGATTGTTTGCACCAACCCATATCTTGATGCCAGCCAGCAACTAACCTAGTTAGCATAGTAGCAACCAGCAGTAGGCCCGACACTCAGCCTTCATAATGGGTCATGGCAAGGACACAGACACTACCGAGCCTGACACCGGGACATTTTCACAGCACCACACACTCATGTAATGTTAATATTAGGAGGACTGAACGAAAATCACCACAATCTGACAAAACAAAAAAAAAAAAAAAAAAAAAAAAAAACACCGTGTAACAGTGCGGTGAGCATTAAAAGTGTTACCCGGTCTTAAGATGAAGATATCTGCTAGCCATTAGCTGTGCGGGCGCCGCAATGTGCCGACAGCCACACTTCGCTTCCGTCACAACTTCGCCTAGACAGGTTCATTACATACCAAATGACTAAATAACAGTCAGAGGTGATAACCGAGTGAACAAATACCTTGGCACCCTGGTTGTGTACGGGTTAAACTCCGCACACCGGAGACCGAGAGTCGGACGGCGGCTCTGAACATGATGCGGGCAGCCAGCTACACGAACCGGGGAGCTTTCTGAGGAAGACTGCGCTAACTGCTTGGCCCGTCACGTACGCTATACGGGTCTGCGCATGTGCAAACTGCAGCTCATTGATATTGTTTTCTGTATTGTTGACCTACTGACTCTGACTTTGACTTCTAAATAATACTGTACTTTGTCCATGATATTTAAGATTTTACTTTTTTTGTTTTCAGACGAGCTGCTCCCAGTGGAAAATGAATCAACACACACACACACACATATATATATATATATACATTATATTCTCACAGAAAAGTTCAGTAATCATATATGTTTAAGTGGGTATAAAAACGTTACATTAGCCTATAAAAAATACTTTCTTACTTCAAGTGGAATAAAATGCAGCTGCTATATAAGACCCAGTTAATATCATTATGACATGACTTTGAATGACCCCACTAACTAGTAGTCCCTATGAACAGTGGTGGGATTTAAGGTGGTCAGGGCCCTGGTACTTTGTTTGGCCCCTCTCGTGCAGCTTGCAACTGCAGCAATAGTTTGCATCTTGGAACTTTTGAATGCATCAAAAAATATATGCTGGATTGAAGTCACAATTACTAAATCAAATAATGGCTTGAAAAGCTCCCAAATGAAGATATATGAACTCAGAAACATTATTGTGCCACATTAGTAAAGCACTGAATAAAAATATGTAAAGGTTGCATTATAAATTATTTTAATTTTTTTTTTTTTTTTACAAATCTTCATAATTTTTTACAAATACAGGTATTTTTCATTGAACTTAACAGATAATTAAATTAATGTCTGTTTTTTAAAATGTTATTTTTAAAATGAAACTGGAGTAAACAGGAGTGACAGCTGGGGTGGCCAGGTATTTTTCTTTAGCTTTCTATAGCATCAGGTACAATATCTGAAGCAGAATATAACACGCTGTTTTACTGAGGCAAAATCACAACATCATTACTGAGCCAAATAGTCTGGCCAATACGGGCCCCTTGTACACGTGGGGCTATAAAGCAATATCAGATTTTTGATAAGATTTGCCTACTGGCTATATTCTGTCAGGATGAGAATGTCAGAATGGGAGGTAACTAGTCTCAAATCTGGCAGTGTTGGATATTGTTTTTGCTTTTAACCATTTTACTACAACAGAAAAATAAAGTCTGCCAGATTACATGTTTTGGAATACAGGTGCATAAAACAGGTTTGTCTCCAGGTTTACAGGGTTAAAATAAAAGATGTGTATACACTCTCCAACACAAAACAAAACGTCAAAGTTGATTTACAAACTAGTTCATTTATTCTAGTGATGATCCAAGAAAAGAACAGCATCATCATGAAACTCTTTACCAAAATATTCTGGTCCCATGATCCATTAATGTACATCAAAAGTTCACTTCAAAAGTACAAAACAGAAGAAAAACTACAGATGCAAACATTGATGTTTATATTTACAATGACTGTGACCAACTTTGTGTATGTTTACAGTTTACACCTTTTGCATCAGAATCAGCTCTCAGATTACTAATATATAACTACTAATGTGACTATTAATAACGCAGCTAATACTCATTAATAAATACATTACTTTTCATAACAAAGTTACTAAGTTGCAAAACACAGATTAAAATTTTAACATGCATATTTTGTTGATACTAATTATTATAATATATATAAGTATGATCACCTTTTATTCATTCTCAGTGAAGCTGTAGACTGATGCAATATTGTAGATTATACATTTATGGTTCACTTTAGTTGCGTAATACCTTATTACATTAAAATATAAAAGCTTAAATTCCCATTTCATATTTTAGGCGAAATCGGTGCAGCCAAAAAGACCAACCCTCTGAACAAGCCTAACATATACTGTATGTTAATTTCCTAACATTTCACATGATGCATTCAGACTTTGTAGAACATACAGTCCAGTCATCCGGGCAGACTCTCTTTGCTGTGTGCTGTGAGGAGGGACTCTGAGCTGGCCTGAGCAGAGCTCTCCGTCTCTCTGCATCCTCTGTGGGAGTTTGGGGGGGTTGATATCCAGGTTCCTGGGGATCCAGAGGGTCTTTAGAGAGCAGGATACAGATAGCAGGGACTGTCTTCTGCATGGTTATATCTGGAGATCCCTGTTGTGGACTCTCCCAGACCTCGTTTATAGTCCTGTAGTGGAGCTTGGACACCTGGTGGAGCCCTCCCACTTTACGTTTTAGAATCTCCACACAGGTGATGGTCTTGGTGACTCCTCTGCCTGAGCCAGTGAAGACCACCTGTCTCAGTGATGTCCCATTGCCATCTTTTCCCTCTCCTTGCATGCGAGCTGTTGCAAACCGCAGCAAATTGCGGATCTTGCTTCCTTCTTTCACTCGCATGTGCAGGATGTCTGCTGCCAGGCCGGGGATCGGACAGGGACTGCTGTCCTCTGTGCGGCTGACTCTCTTGAAGTTGCTCCCGCCAAATTTTGGAGACGAAGATGAAGATGAGACATTAGGGTTGATTGAAGCAGACTGTAGGTCCATTACAATGCTGCTTGCCCCATTTGAACTCTTCATCTGACCCCTGGGTTCAGTCATTGTTTAGAAAGCGGTGAAATAACAGTGCAGGATGCTGTTTCTGAGCATCGGATTGTTTGCATATCTCCCTTGAGATCGGAAACACATTACTTGTTCATTTAGTCTAAGAAACCAAAAACTGATCAGCTTTGTAATCGAAACTTGTGACTTATCTTGATCTTCTTTCTGTCCTCTGTCCATACTTCATTTCCATTTTGTCTTTTGAGCACCGAGATGACAGCCAGCAGTATGAAGAGGGTATTTCTTCCTCTAATCCCATTGACGTGAAGGAAAAGATGTCCTTGCTCTATTCAGCACTGAGGACAGCTGATGCCAACAAACACATATGAGGCTCAGAGAGAGACATGTAGAGTGGGACATAGTGCTCTTAAAGGCACATGCAACATTTAATAATGTCTGTCACATTGTAGTTTGTTGGTTTTGGAGGGAAGCTTTTGTTAAACCCTTGAGGGCTCAGAGATTTTATTTGTCCACGTGGTTGCTTGAATTATATGGCTGAATAAACACGAGTTAATGAGATTTAACAAGGCATGCAGTTGAAACAATCCTTTGTTTCAACTGAATTGGCTTTGATTGTTGACATTTTAATGTGCCTTTTTGCAGATATTGCACCAAACTACAATTTCACTGAGGCAAAGATTTTTAGAAATAATATAATAGTTACGGCAATATACATGTATATCATGGTTTTCAAGACAACTTCCCCTCTGCACTATCAACAGAGAGCCATATGGTCTTTGAGAAATGTCTTCCTTTGGGCTATTACCGCAACTTCACAGTTCTCCTCCCTTCAGTCCATCGCCTGCTGGGCTGACCCAGAAAATGCTTGCTACATCATTTGTGCCTCTTTTGAATCAGTGACATTTATAAGGACAATCATACCTTGGAGCCAAATTGCATTAAATCATAAAGCCAGAACTGTATCCAGATGCAAACATAGGTGTTTTCCTAGGTGCTTCTTTTAAAGGAGCAGAGCCATGGGAAGAGGTCAGGAGGCAGCTGTGGGGCTCATATGGAACCAGTATACTGTTATAATGGTGCACTTCTGCCTCACAGGATGGTACGCACCCCATGATATTCACTGACTCGAACAATGAGCACAAAGACTTGGTTCTCAATGGTGTCCATAAAGTTCAGAGCAAATTACAGTTGGTTCCCAGGAGAGAAATCCACTGGCTATGAATGTCAATTAAATGCACATTAACTGTCCATCAGTGAATATATTCCCATCGTGAGAATATTAATAAACCATTTAGAAAATTGGTGTGCCACAAAAACTCTCAATTTACTATTTGTTTGAGATTTAAGTATAAAGCCGATGATAATTTTGTGCGTGTGACTCCTGTGACACATCTGGTTTGTTATGCAGTTGTTTAGTGTTGCAGAATGTCACACAGGATCAAGTCAACATTAAAGCTGTGAATGCTGACTGCTATCTAACTTTAAAATCTGTAGCGTTATCTACTTACAGACATTTATAAGTATAACTGCCATTACACAACAATTATGGGCTTTTATTGGCCCTGTGTTAGCATTGAAAAATCCATCAGAGTAGTTGTTATTGGTTACACTTCCATCTTGTGGTACAACACACGTATTACACAAATAACAAAGTGGACCTTCAAGCAGTAAGCAATCTGCATTAACAAATCAGAGGAAAACATTTGATATGTTAAATAAAATAATCAAATTTTGTAAACTTTTATTTAAAAAATGTGTGGTTATAAAAATGTACAAAATATGTGTTTACAGTACATACGTATGACACTGGCGGTACACACAAATTTAAATTACACCGGACTGTAAATTAAGGTATAAGGCAAAAAAAAGCTTTTACAGGTGGGCATTGTGACACAACAAACTAGTTTCATCCATCTAATATTATTGCAGTTGACAACAGAAAGAAGAGATGCCCTTTCTTCCTTTCGAGTTAGCGTTTTTCATTCAAACAAAAGTTGATAAAAGCATTGTTCACTTGTCAAACCAATAAAAGCCAAACTTAATAAATTCAGCCACAAAGTAACTAAGACTTATACTCAGACATTGTTTTTTTTTTTTCTTGCTTCAAAGCTGTGCTGAGGCAATTACTTGTAAAATTTCCCTGTGGATCCTGGCTTCCTGAGTGTTGATGTGGACATCTCCCACCTGGCCATTCTCATACCTGAGAAAGACAAAGACAGAATGTTGTGGAAATCTGAAATATAGTCTGGAAATTTCTTATTACACTGGGAGGCAGAAAGGTTGCTTCATGTTATACTCACACAAAGAGGAAACGTGTGCACACATGGTCTGATATCGGACACACCCAAATGTTTCCATGTTTTTGAAGGTCCATTGAAGTTATCACTGTCAAGACATACAGACAATTCTTAAACAATATCACAAAATCTGTTCTTGTATTATCAAAACTATGCTCTTTGTAACATATACGTGTTTTTTCAAATTTACCTTCGCAGAGAGCGATGCAGTTTAGGTTCCTGTTTTGCAGAAACCTGTTTTGCCCCGGCTGGTCCTAAGACAAGAACAGAATACGGGATGAGATACAAAAATCCAGAATAGATGGAAAAGTTTGAACTAATGTGATTTATAATTTACCTCTTTGATTTTGTTTATTTGGTTGTATTTCTTTATGAGTTCTTCTCTGGTGGGTATGTGGTGCTGCCCTTTACCCATCTCTGAACAAAGAGGAAGGATGAGTTTTAAGAATACGCTGGAATCAATAAGAAATGGTAATCTTTGTATAAATAGATTATCTCATGTTTACATTCATACCAGAATATCCAAATGATATACTTGAGATTGGACTCAGATAGATGCCTTTCCCATATGCAGCTCCATGAAGCTTAAATAAGAACAGAAAAAATTTGAGATTGTAGCAAATGAACACTTAATAATTTCTAATCAATTTCAGATCTCCTCCATGAAATTACATTTAAAAAATCCTTACATACTCTACCTGAAATTTTGTATAGGAGGCATTAACCAGCCCATTTCTCAAGATAGAGTGCCAGTTTTCAATGTGGGAACCACTGAAAGAAGATAAAATAGGGGTATTTAATAGGGTATATGAAGCAGGGGGTCGTATTCTGTGTATATATGTTTTTATGAAGGTTTTATATTGGTGGCACGGCTTTCATGTAACTCACTGGAAAGCAAAGGTGCTGCCATGAAGTTTCCTGGCAGTTTGAAAACGAGCCTCTTTGGATGGAGGGCTGCTGATCAACAGGAACTGATGGGGTGTGTGCATGAACTTTAGTTGCTGTTGTACACCAAGTGATAAGAAAATATATGAGATAGTGACCACAGAATAAAATGTATATAAAGTGTAAAACAAAGTATGTCATCTAATATTTGGCCACTTATAAACTACTACTATTGTAAAACTTGCAACTACTGTGTTAAAACATCAGACTCTAACTGTGAACTACTCTATCATACCCTGTTCCGTGGAAGCTTGACAATGTGTGATCTGTTGCTTGCTAAAATCCTGTTGTCAAACATACGAACACACACACCTGGATATGAGTCTAAGACATATTCATATTTGATGCCATGTCGAGTTCATGAAATAGGATAAAAATATGAGTGAAAGGCTTGTTTGGATTGTGTCACTCACCATTGTAGTAAGGGATAAGCGAGAGGGTCTATCTTGTCCATTTGCTTCTTTATTTCAGAATAGGGACCCTGGATATGATAAACACAGTTTTATCCATCTAACATTAATGTAGCTGTCAAGAAAACAACAGCTTTCAGATTATTCTCAGATATGGAGAACCAAATGTGAAAAATTGTGTCACGAGTGAAGGATTTATTTTAAGATCAGTCACCTGTGCCATCCTCCTGATTAACAAGACACTGTCCAGAGCTTTTTGCAGCCTGTCGTAGCTCTTTCTCTGCCATAACAAAACAATACATGATTGCTTCATAATTAAAAAAGAAAAGACAATGATTAGGCCATCACAAATCAAGTAAATCAGAAATTACAGTATATTAAAGTTCAATTGATACCTTAGGACTAAAGGCCAGGGTTTTGGGGTTGAATGGATCAACAACCGAAGGGTACGGTTCAAATATGATGCCCTTGCGTGAAGACTGAAGGGCAGCTCTGCACATGGCCACCAGCAGGTCAACAACCTGCAGAACAGACATTACTGTAATATAGTAATCTTATTTTATGATCATCTGGACTACCTATAAAGATATGTGTGTGTAACCAACCTCTGCGCCAGTGGCCACCTCATCTGTAGCTCCAGACATAACCCCCAATGTATAAAAGGAAAAGACACATAGCTCCCTGGTGCAGACTGCTGGCTAGAAACACACAAAACAGAATAGTGTCAATATGTTAAGAGTCAGCTGGATTTCTATTTTCACTTCAGTAGATTAGCCACAAAACCACCAGCTAGTAGGAGCGCACCTTTAACATCGGCCCGTTCTGAATCACATGTCGCTCATCACAAACAACGCAGTATTCATTCAACGTGGGGATTCTCTGCTCAGCATACCTCATTATCTGTGTACACAATGAAAAACATTACACATTGTATCTGCTTCACATTAGCTAGAACCAAAATTACAATTGTTAGTATTGTTTTAACATTTAAGAACCATTTTACAACATTTTGCCCGAACACAAACTACATTATGGCGAAGAATGGTTTATTTATTTCTAAATGATCAATTTCAAAATAAATTCCAAACAGCTTATTTACAGCTCATTTGTGTCTCTTTTGCTGTGATCTCATCTCAGAAACGTATATTTCTGGAGGACATGTTGGGGCCACTTGTGAAGTCATGTCATTTAGTGTCACCTATTGTGATAATAACTACAATAATTACATTCTGCCCAGTGTTATTGTGCTGTCACACATGTATAACTCCCATCCAGTGGGTACCACCAAATGTACAGATTCACACAATTTATTTTGTTTGTTTGTTTTAAGAGAAGTTCAGTTTACAACCTCACCAGTCCACTGGAACAATTTACTTTAACAGTGTGTTAAACAGTACAGTTTTTTTTACTTTAAGGACTTCAAAGAATAACAATGGACTTTCTCTCTGTGTCATTTGCTCTGCTTACAGTGTGGTACTTCGTGCTCAAAAATGGACATTTGACAATTGAGGTTAATTAATGACAATTTTTACATTTCTATGACAACTGGGTATCTCTATCTGCTGAGGAAGATTATATGATATGATAGAGAGCTCTTGAACAGCTATTGAGTGGACCTTATAGTGAG